AATTCAAAACGTACTGATGAATAGAGTAGAGTTGTATTTAAAATAAAATTATTTAAAATACATATTTTAAATTAAAAAAATAAAAGATCGAATTAGTTAGTATTTTTATTATTTTAAATTACCAAAATACCTCATTTCTTTTGACCTATTTTTTATTCAATATTTTAAATAAGCTTCTAGATCTTATTTTATATTTTTTATATTAAATAAGTAACAGTATTTTATCAAATCCTGCTCATAAAGTAAATAATCTTGTTTAATCATGTTGCACAATATTTTATAATGTACGTGATACGCTTAATGAAAATTCTACTGTGACGTACATATAAGAACATAAAACTCACTGGGCAGATAAGTAGACCACGTGTTGTATTCTATATGAATTCAAAAAGACAACAGGGAATTACCGCGGCATTCATGCAAGCATCACATGATGCTCGTAATCGATCATCGGCATTCTATATGCCTGCAATCACGATCAACATTCCATGTTAAACTACCATCAAATCATTTTCCCGGCTGGACTCGTAGAAATTGCGTAATCTCGCCTTTATAAGAAAGTGCAGCTTTCGTGAACGGTCTCGTATTGATTTGAAAACGCGCAATACTCGTTGAAGCACGACAAACTGTAATAAAGTAAGGCAATAATTTGGCAAATTGCATGAAAAAATGCTTTTTGTAAAATAAACAAAATTTTCCTCGAGGAAACATTCAGTTGCGCAGAGTGAGAATTTAAATTTAGATATTATAGATGTACTTATTATAGATTTAAGATATACTTGTTATATCTAAATAACGAAAAGAAAATTTGCTAAAATATCTAAAAATTTAGCTAGATTTGAAAATAATTTTGTTGGACCGTCAAAATAATTATGTGGGACGTTCAAACTAGTTAAGTAAAATGTCAACACTTTTTGTAGCATTGCTCATTATGTTTGAACATCTTACATAATTATTTTAATAGTTCAATGAAATTATTTTGCAATCTCGCAAATATAAAACGTACAACACTTTATCATACTAAGGCCCAGTTTCACACAACTCACCGTTAACTCTTAACTGAGGTTCAACTTATTTTTCATCTCTTACTCTTACCAATTCTAGAATTGGAAAGAGATGAAAAATAAATTGTCTGTTAGCCGCTAAAATAATCCCTGTCGTAAAACCAATGAGACTACAAAATAATCTTATCTATTCCGCGTGCACATGACAAATGAGATACACCACACGGGACATAATTCACTGGCAGTTGAAGCTCCTTATAATTACGCCTAATGGTAACAATATTAAATAATTTTATTGGGAGCCTACAGTACGTCTTTCACATGGAAAGAACAGTTTTGCTAACTCTCTAAACATTCAGAATAAATTGTCACTCTGAAGAGTAAAATCTCTTTTAAAGATTAAAAACTGAGTCACTCTTTTACAAGACTGGCTGAATTTTCGCTATTTAGAGTGAGATTCTACTTCAAAGAATTTAGAGAGAGAATAAAAAAGAATTTTTAACTACAAATCTGAAAATAATTTTATTGAATGATCAAAATAATTTTGTAGAATTCTTAACCCTCAACTACAGCTATGAAATAGCTATATCGAAGTTTTAAAGTGTCCTGTTTGAAATACAGAATGCAAGTTAATCTTCACCTTGCAGCGATTCATAACACAGAAGGTTCAAAGTTTTTTTTACCTACAATTTAGAATCTCATATATAGTATCAATTGCATAGATTAACCATCCAAAAGTTTTTCTTTTTAGTTCCAAATAACCCGTTGTTATGGTCGAAAGTTAAAGCATTGATGACAATGCAAAAAAGTTTAATTTATTCTATAGTAACCAGAGCGTCTTACATAATTATTTTTATAGTTAAAACAAAATTATTTTCAGATATATACTTAGCTAAATTTTTAGATATTTCAGCAAAAACATTCTTTCCCTTGCAGCTGTTCTCTAAATTGTTTCGTAATCGGAATTGAGATTGTGATTTGATAGGCAAGAACGCGCTCACATGCAACGTTAACTTTCTCTCGAAAATTGTTTCCGCGAAGTTGGAATGATTTTTTTTTGCGAATCAGCTGCAGTCCACCTTCGAAGGGAGAAATATGCTCCCTGGGGCGTCGACATTGTCCAACGAGGAAATCATCGGAGTATAAATAGAGGATGACTCGCGATTTGAACGCGCTCGGTCGGTCCGAGCATGTATCGATACGCGGCGTTCCTTCAAAGAGGTGTCAACGCAACGGATTAACACTTTCAGATCCACGGCGGTGCGTCGCACTCGTGCTTTAAAAATAGCCGAGGACGCTTGAAGCGTATCGCGTTGGACGAGTAAAGCCGATGCGTAATGACTTGTTCCTTGTCTCCTGATAAGAAACACTTCGATCCTTACACGTTTTGTTATCTTTCTTTTTTCGAGGTATTACTTTCAACTTATTGCTAAAGCTGAAGTCATTCGAATAGTCTTATCTGTATCTAAGGCCGATATTCATAGTCCGTTCTTATTTCAAAATTTAAGTAATGTTTTCAGATGCGGTCCTATATATGATAGTTCGTGTGATACCTTAAGACAGTCTGAAATATACGAACCGACTATAAATACCTGTCTAAGGGCTGATTGCTCCATCTTCGAATAAACCATGTAATAATTCGACATCGGATTTTTATGCGGATATTTTTTGCAAGCATGCACAAAATATGCAAATTTGCACAAATATGCAAATATACATAATATGCATTTTTAGAATGCTTTTATAACAAGACAAATTTCTATATTTGTCACTTTCTAATCTGCTTTCTAAAAAAACGTGAAATTACATAAAAATCCGATATCTACACTGAAAGAAAAGATTGGTTGCTGCAACAATTTAGATAGTAAAATATGACATAGCATTTTTATAATTTTTAGTTATAATCTAATAAATATATTTATAGTCTATCCGCAATGTCAATATATGATTTCGATAGGCTAACGCAACTAAAAACTTGCTGCTACAATCAGAAACTGATTGCTGCTGCCATATAAAAATGCTATATCATATTTTACTATCTAAATTGTTACAGCAACAAATCTTTGTTTTCAGTGTAGTAATAATTTATCTAATTCCTAAACAAAAGAATAAAAGAGTAAGAGCAAATAAAGTAAAAGTATAAGCTGAAGTTTATCAAAAAGTGGAACAGCTCAGCTTAAATTTTGTAGACTTTGAACTGATAACTTTCTCTTAATTTTAGATTCTAATGGCCGTATTCATAGTCAGGCCTTATATTTAAGGTTCCCTTAAATATAATGCTCTAGAATTATTTTATTGGCTACTAAGCATCTAAAGATAAATTTAAGGAAGCCTTAAATATAAGGTCTGACTATATGAATATGGATCTTAGATCATCATATATTTCGAAGATTTGACTCTTCGTCAAATTAGATTTTGAAGGTACAGTCGATATTTGATTATAAATTCTGGTAGATAAAAAATAAGTAATTATATTAACTCTCAGCACGAGCTCTATGTACACCCGAGCTGTATAAAACAGCGTTAGGCATTCACAAACCGTAAGGATGAGAAAGATTAGAATAGGGGATAAAAAAAGTTTTATACCTCTAATTCCCGATCACAACATGCTCTGAGAATTGAATGGAAATTTATCATAACCGTTAATTATCAATATTTTCGTATATTACAGCTCTAGAATCTCGAAAATATAATTCTTGCGCGCAAAAGTTTTATTTGAAAATTTTTGTGTACAATATATAATATATATATATAAGTTTTATTTATCTATTTTTTTTATTAATAAGTGAAAATAAGTTGATTTGTAGCATTTTTTTTATCATTTTTGACATTATTTTATAGAAATTCGAAGCACTTGAAACAAAGTCTGAATAAGCATGTATATGCTTGATATTTTTAGAAACAGTATGTTTGGCAATATTTTTCACGTAAGTATATCATTTTATATAATTGTGCATTATTTTACTGTTTATAAAGTGTAAACTCATTTATTAGATTGTTGACTTCCATCTAACTTCACCTTGCCGAACAAATATACTTTTTGAAACTAATCGAAATCATGGTACGTTTTTCTTAAAATACACGTTCAATTACCTTTGGAATTCTGCTGGAAAAATAATCTAACAGTTTTCTCTTCGATACTACAAATTTAAAAAAAAATCATTTTTTTCGCTAATTTCAATGTTTTCCTTTTTTCCTAAATATTTCGAATATTTTCAATTTCTGGATTTTTGCACCTATTCATTCTTCTTTTTGTACCTTTCGTATCAATTGAAGAAAAAATTGCTCAAACTCTATGCATTACATACAAAGATATATGCAATTGAAAATCGAGGTGACACCCTAATATGCTCCAAAGTCTCGATTCAGATATAGCTGTAATCGAAAATTAAAATTGAATTCTAGAAATGAGTTAATTTTCACATATAATGAAGCTTATGTGTGATGAACAAAAGTGTCATAGACACATAAATCTGAATATTTATAAAAGTTTTAATAAGTTTAACGAGTCTACTGTTATAGAAAATTGTATTTTATTTAACTTTACAAAGAACTTCGCAATAATTATATAAAATGATGGTCCCGTGATTTGTGAGATGTGATTTGTGAGACGAGTTAGTTTTCATATATATATAAAATGTAACTTGTGATGAACAAAGGATGTTAAAGACTCAATACTAAGTAACTTGTGAGCTATAATGTATCCAAAAAACTCTGTGAACACAAGTTTTACTTTTAGCACACACACCTTTGTAAAAACAAAATAAAATCTTCTCTCTTTACGACAGTAAAAACTTATTAAACTTGTTAAAACTTTCACAAGTATACAGAATCTTTTTTTATATTTTTATACAATTCAAAATTTTAACAATATAAAAATCTGTACTAAAGCCCAAAGATCCAAGTTGCTGACAGAAAATTCAAAATTCCACATGGAGAGTTAAATTGCCAACGGAGAGTTAAATTGCTAAAATAAGGATTGAAACGGGAACTTACTTTAAGAGCGTATTTCTGTCTTGTGTTCCTGTCGTAGCATTGCACGACCTTTCCGTTGATCCCGAGGCCCAGAACGTGATTGCTAATCTCATAGTCGTCGGTAATCGGCGTGACCTTCGGCGACAGTCGATTGTTCAGCGGATGCTCCATCGTCTTTCTTTTGGCGTCCTCGACTTCCGGGATTTTCTGCTCCGGTAACTGATCGTAGTCCTGTCTAATGACCTGCGTCACGACGACCGACGGTATTGAGCACTTGCGCTTGCTCCCTTGCTCGTTCTCCTCGAGAACAGCCCTCTTGGACTTTCTGTAAACGCGAGGACATCCTGTCATTTCTTGACAGTTGAAACGTAAAGAACAGGTTAGCAGGCAAGATCACGCGCATAAGGCGAACGGAAAAATACGATGCTCCAGATTACGCGGTGATAACGCAGACCTGAGATAACGTGTCGCCATATCGAACGTGTGCAAGACACGCGAGGAAACGAGACCATCGAAACCGTTTGCACGGAAAGGACAATTTTACTAAGAATATCTAAAAATTTAGCTAGATCTATAGATCTGTAAATAATTTTGTTGAATCATCAAGATAATTATGTATATAGAACGTTCAAACTGTCCTGAGAAAAATTTAATACTGGAAAGTAGATTGATTAACTTAATTATTTGAAGTATTACAAGCTATTGTTTAGCGCTTTTTATACTCCAAGAAAGAAGTAATTAATCACTGTTTTTCAGTATTAAATTAGATTTCCGTAAGGCTAGTTACCAGAATGTCAAAACTTTTGCAGCATTACTCATACTTGTTACATAATTAATTTGATGGTCCAACAAAATTGCTTTCAAATTTATATCTAATTAAATTTTTTAATACTTCAACAAAAAATATCGTTCTTTCCGTGGTGCATACTGGCTCATTGCATTAAATTACAATGCATTACAGCTTATTACTTATTACAGTCGTTCAGTTCACATTTAATCCTTCCTCAAGGGAAAACCGTTCGCATCAGCGAGATAAAACTGGAGAATGACATTTAAGAGCAGAAAGTTTAGCGATGGGAGAACCGTGTGACGTCGAAGGATCTGCAAAAATTAATTGTAAATGATATTTGTATTCGTTAAATATTCGTTCACTGTGTCAACCAAATGCCGTTTCAATGGAAACCGTTTGCGTAACCGTCCTCGAAGAATGTGCAAGATTCATGTTATTTCACATACATACGCGCACATATACGTGTGTTCTACCCACACAGTCTTACTTATACGGCGCGTACTACTCTCGTTCGCGGTGCAACCTGTATTATGTATACACCGCAATGCAGTACATCGCGATTTTTCCAGTCGCAATCGGGAGAAAAATTGCATGCGTGTATTTCTACGTCAGAATTGCGTCGGCAATAATATGTAGACATCTCGCAACCGCCGTTATTTCATTCATCTGTATGTAAAAGGCAGTATTAGAGCGTAAAATAAAAAAAGTAATTCGATAATTAAAATAACAGAATTATTAGTGATATATACTTTAGGCCAAAAGTTTGGACACACTTTTAAAAAATTGACTTATTTAAATATCTATAACAATATATATATATATA